ATCTTCAATTTCTCTATATCTCATTCCTTCAATTTATCCATCCTCATATACTTCTCTATATGCCATTCCTTCAATCGGTTATTCCTATTATTTTTAATCTTCAATTTCTCTATATCTCATTCCTTCAATTTATCCATCTTCATAGACTTCTCTGTATGCCATTCCCTCTTTTGGTTCATCGATAGATATCTGAAATTAATAATAAACTTATGCTACATCTAATTTCTTTAAGAAGGAATCCTTCACAGATGTATCCAATGTCAAATCAAGATCTTTTGTAATTCTAACAATATTAATTACTCCTAAAATAAAAGTTATAGCAACAATTAACTTGATTTTGTTCATCTTAAATTATATAATAATTTTGATGATGTAATAATTATATATCGCCAAATAATATACAAAAAAAAATTTTCTAGAAATTTGATAAAATTTATGTAATTCATTCTAATTTTATTATTTTTATGAATAAATTTAGTTGAAATTCCTTAAGTTTAGAACAACTTAAATATGTATAAATTCTATCTTCTTATTTGTTTAAAATCAAAGATTTATCTTTGAATTTTTACAAAGGTTTAATCAATAAATTCTTGAAAGAATTAATTTTTAATTAAACTTTATTTCATCTAGATTAATATAGCCTAATAAGAATTTGAAATTTTTAGAATTTATATTAAAATTATAAAAAAATAGTTTGACTATTTTTATCCATTTTGAATTTGATTTCTTATAATTGAACAGGAAAATATTAAAGTTTTTCTTCTCTCGTTGGATCCTTCTTAACAATTTTATTTTTCCTTGTTTTAATTTGAAGATTCGATATCATCAATTTAAAAGAAAAGAATAATATAATCAAATTATTAACGTTTGCCAATATAATACTTTTTGTAAATGTAAAAAAATTTTTACATGAATGTAATTTTAATAAATTTATAAATTATTTGCCAAAAAATTACATAATCTTTATTTATAATAAGTCCTATTCATTGCCAAATAACAGATTTATTTTACATTTATATTAACAATAATTTATATCAATAAAATATAAATATCTTCACAATTTAGTTTCATACTAATGAGAGATTTTGATATGGGTTTTTTATACCCTACTACACTTTTTAAATCATTTATTCTCTAAATTGATTTAAAGCGTCTCTAACATCTTAGCATTTTTTTTATGCGATTTCTAAAATTTAATAAATTTATACGTTCTAGTAAAGGCATTAGATCTTTGAGGGCTCTGTCATTTTGATCACCTGTCCAACTAAGAATGTAAATTCCATTTTCTGGCTGTAACTGAAAATTCTCTGGCATATTGTCAACTATAATCACTTTTTCCAAACTTCTACCCAAAATTGATAAATCCTAAATATGATTTTATATTTACTTTTATATACATATTATTCTTGAAAAGAGTATGCTCTCTGTAAAGTCTGGCAATTACAACTTTATGCTTATCAATAATATCAATAATAAAATTAGCATAATCTGGTTGAGCTGCTGTGAATATCACAAGTTCATAATATTTAGATAATTTTTCTAAAAACTCTTCTGCATAGGGTCTAACTAAAAATTATCCTCCACCATTTGGAAGCTTAATTTTAAATGACATATACTTCTTGATAATGTACAAGAGTTTCATCAAGATCTAAGACTAAAGTATAAGCTTTTAAAGGTTTTTTAGGAAGAAATATTTATTTTTTTTAATCAAAAAGTCTTGATTACTTTTTACTATTCATATTGTTCTTGTTTTCATCCTAGATAATTTCTTTCGCTATTTAATGAAGTATTTTCTTTTGTTAAATAAAATAAACATCCAAACTTGTCGAATTAAATCCTAAATGAGAATATATCTCTGGGTGACAGGTGTCGTCAATACCTATTATTGATAATTTACTTACATTAATTCTAAAATAGATTTTATTATAAAATTATTTTTTTATAAGGTTTATTTGGCTTTGTTTTATGGTTTCTTTTATTAAAATTATCTCATATCGATTCTTTATTTTACCATTTCCTACTATTTTATAAAAAATTACATTTTCCACACAAGAAAATAAAGTTTATAGAATATAAAAGTTACTTTAAGCAACATAAACAACAAGATTCTTTAAATTTTAATCGAAATTTTGCTAAATTTTTAAATACTCAAGTGCTATTATAAGGATTGTGTATGATTCTAATAAAAGAGTGTCTATTATATGAATATCGATCTTATACAAGTATTCGCTCTAATAATAGTTAAATTGAATACATTTTTTCGATCTAAAAGGGAATTTAAAGATTATTAGATGAATTAACAAAATTAATTTAACTAATCTTAATTTATATTATCTAAAGAAGCATTCATTTGATTCCATAATTAATCCTTATCTAACAATAATTTAACTACTCTTTCTTAAATTTCATCTTTCATATCTTGTTGATTAACTTCCTGTTGTTATTTCTTTTTAATTTAAGAAGAGATATTCTTAATCAATTAAGAATTATTTGATTTTTATTATTTATCAATTTTTTAAACAGTATTATCTATTTTTTATTTAATTTATTGAATTTTATTGATGTATTCTGTTGAAGAAATATTTTTATTATTGTTATTATTTGCATGCTTTTAAGGAGTAGTGTTATTGCTACTTCTTTTTTACTATTATTATTACTATTTGGCTAGTTAAGACAATGTTAAATTATTAAGCTTAATTTATGGATCAGATTATTTATTTTAGAAGATATAATAAAGATTTGACAAATTACCATTATTTTCATTAATTTCCCTAGTCGATGATGGGGAAGGAATGTTTTATTTTGAAAAGGATTCATTAGTTTTTTATGTTTTATTTAGTGGGATCTAATTAATATAACCAGAGGTTGAAGCATTTCTCGAATCTTATGTTAAATTTGCAATATTACAAATACTATCTCCTCTTGTAGATTTAGTGTCTAATACTTTTTTTTCTCTCAAACTTTATCCGAATAATGAAGTTGATGATTTATTGTCTGATTATCCTAAGTTGCTTAGCATTTATTTAATTTTAGTGGCGCTTTCCTAATTTTAATGAACGTTAACTGTTTTATCTATCGGTGTGCGATCTTCTTTTTAGTTAAATTTTACTTCTATAATCGCTAATATCTTTGAAGGAATTCTTTGATTTACTTGACATAGTAGAAGTCTCTAAATTATTAGAAACGTTAAAGTTTTTGGGTTTTTTTGAATCATTTTAACGATAAGAAAGCATATTTCAAATGGTTTCCTTTAACAGATTTTAATTAATGAAGTTTAATATTATTGAAGACTTATATTAGTTTGTTACTAAATTAAAAAATATCTGAAAATTAATAAAGAAAAGAATAGTAGTTTTACAAGTGTCCTTCTTGATAGAAAATCAATTTTAATTTTTAAAAAGATGTTCAATAATTAAATTTAGGAAAATAATTCAACTAAAAAGTGATTATTAAATATTTAAAGGATTGAGAAATCAAGTTTACATTTATTAAACTTTAGAATGAGATATAAAAAAAAAAATCAAATGTTACTACGAATTTCAATAATTTTAAAACTGTGCATAATCAATAAATATGCCAGCCATGATAAGAATAATTTTCTCTTCAATAGTGGCAAATTCAGGAAAATTTATTCCATATGTATCTGATTTAGTACACCATTCTCTACGAAAACCACCAAATAAATGGCAAATCTTACCCACTTTTTAATTGTTTCGATCTTTTATTTAAAACTCAATTTCTGCACAAGATTAACATGGTAACATACAAAATAATCCTGGCTAACAACAACTAGCACTAATAGTATATAGTAAAGCATTGTTTTTATCAAAACATGTTAGCTATTGCAATTTGAGAAAGTACATACTTTATAAAATGTACATTTGATCCATGTCCATTAAAGTTCTTCCATCACTTTTCCAATATATTATCCTCTTTAATAAATTAACATTTCTGGTCTTTGGAAACATAAAATAGAGAATTTATATGGTTTTTCTACTTTAATATGAACTTCAGAAAATTTTCTTTAATCTACAAGTTCAAGTGAGCGTTTAGATGGAGGACAAATAAATCTCTTTTTTAAAAATAATTAATTTACCTTTACATAAATTTGGAGACTTCTTTGACTTCAAAATGAACTTAACCCCAATTAGACCAATCATCTTCACAATAAATAATACTATATTCATTTGCTTATTCACAAGGTTATAAACATGTAATACATGGGCAGATAGGACATGCACAAATGAATGGAGAAAATCTTTCAATATAAGAGGGAGTAGAACTGATGATAATAGAAGTCTGTAGCATAATATAATTATAAAATATATAAATTATAATATTTGAAATTATATACTAATTTTATTTATGCTCTATAATTGAATTCATTTACCGATTTTTTATAAATTAACTCCTTAATTTTTAAATAACTCCTAAGTTCAGAATACTAAACCTAAGGAAAGTTATTTGAACAAATTTGTTATCTATTCATCTCATATATGAATAAAATTTATTTATTAGTATTATTTTGTGTCCTTTAACAATTCATTCTTCTTAATAAAGGTTTTTGTGGTCTGAAAAAAATAATTCTCTATATGAGAAGTGAAGAATTATACTAATGGAGAGATGAAAAGTTTAAAATATACTTTAAATTATAATATTTCTCCAATATATTATAAGTGAATTAGATCTATAGCATTTTCGACTTTTAAATATGATATTGTTAAAAAATGTTGTTGATTATGAGTAAATTGAAGTCGGAGAGTCTTCATTCATCATAATAAAAGTAAAAAGAGTGGTTTAAAAACATATACTTATTTATAGTAAAATACAGTAATTGGAATAATAACATTAATTGTTTAAATATTATTTACCATAATAGTTCGTCATCAAATTATTAAACTTAATTAAAACAAGATGTTTCTGTAAGTGTGTTATTTGGTATCTGATTACGTATTATTTCGAAGAATTGGAATTCTTATATAAATACGTAATATTTAAGTTCTAATTATAGAAACAAAATCGTCATAAATAAAATTCATTAATTATGGAGAATCAAACAATTTAAGCCTAAGAACTCTTATCAAAATGGGGACTTCGAAATGCATCTGTATTTAGAAACCCAAGTGTTCCTCTCATCTATGAGCTGTCGATGTCCTAACCCCAAAGCGAGGATCCTACAGTTAGGCCAGATTCTATAAATAGTACTGGTGCTTTGGTTGCATACTCAGGAAAGAAATGCGGGTAAGAAATATTGTTCTATGATTTAGTCGTGTTCCTAAAGACAAGAGAATCATTAAAGATGAAGTTACAGGAAGAGATGTTTGGTGGGGTGATGTTAATATTGGTTTGAGTTAAGACTCTTATAATGAGGTTGAAAAGATTGCTCTTGAGTATTTAAATAATAGAGAGAAAGTAATTAAGTGAATTAATAATTTAGTTGTTTATTATTGATGGATATGCTGGATGGGATTCTAATTATAGATTAAGAATCAGAGTCTTTTGCAGTAGACCTTATCATGCATTGTTCATGAAGAATATGTTAATTAGACCAACTGATGAAGAATTAAAGAAAGATTTTAATGGAGATGTTGACTTTTACATTTTCAATGCTGGTCCATAGACCATTCAAAAACCTATAGAAGGAATCAAATCTGATGGATGTGTTGCTGTTAATTTGACTGAAAGAAAGATGGTCATCTTAGGAACTTAATATGCTGGTGAAATGAAGAAAGGAGTCTTTGGAGTCACTCATTATTTATTCCCAAAATAAGGAATACTAACATTACACAGTTCAGCAAATGAAGGTGAAAATGGAGATGTCACTTTATTATTTGGGTTAAGTGGCACAGGTAAAACAACATTAAGTGCTGATCCTAAAAGAAGACTAATTGGTGATGATGAGCATGCCTGGTCAGACAATGGCATCTTTAACATTGAAGGAGGTTGCTATGCCAAATGTGTTGATCTATCTAAAGAAAAAGAACCTGAAATCTATAATGCAGTAAGGTTTGGAGCTGTTTTGGAGAACATTGAATATTATTCAGAAGAAACAAGAGAAGTCGATTTCACAAATATTTCTATTACTGAAAACACCAGGGTCAGTTATCCATTAGAATTCATTCCAGGAGCTAAATTCCCAGCTTAAGGAGGTCATCCAAAGAATATTTTCTTTTTAACTTGTGATGCTTATGGTGTTTTACCTCCAGTTTCAATGTTGACACCAGAATAAGCTATGTATCATTTCATTTCAGGATATACTGCCAAAGTAGCTGGAACTGAAGTTGGTGTTAAAGAACCATAAGCTACTTTTTCAGCTTGCTTTGGAGAAGCATTTTTAGCTCTTCATCCTACTCTATATGCTAATATGTTAGCTGAAAAAATCAAAAAATACGATACTAAAGTTTGGTTAATTAACACTGGTTGGTCAGGTGGTAAATATGGAGTTGGACAAAGAATGTCATTAAAATATACAAGAGGAATCATTGATTTGATTCACAATGGTGAACTAAAAGATGTAGAATTTGAAAGCTTCCCAATTTTCAATTTTGCTATTCCCAAAGCTGCCAAAAATATTCCAACATAAATCTTGAACCCAAAGAATACATGGAAGTAAGATATTAATATATTCTAGAAATCCTGAAGAATTTGATAAACAAGTTCTTGAATTAGCTGAGAAATTTTAGATTAACTTCAAAAAATACGAAGATAAAGCTACCTAAGAAGTAATTAATGCAGGTCCTAAATTTTGAAATTAAAAATTTTATTGTGTATGTTTATGAATTATATTCACAAATTTTATAATCAATTATAAATAAAGTAATTCTTAATTACTAAACAAATAAAATTGTCAGAGTTTTTCATTTTACATAAAACGAATCGTATTACTTTTTGTAACAACTTCCCAACACTCTTGATGGTTAAAATTCATTAGCATAAACTCTTTTTTAAGAATGCAAACTATTGGCTCGATTCTTACGTTATTTAGGACTCAAACATTCAAGAGCCAAATTACTTAGATCTAAAACTGCAGGAGCATAGGATTCCCTATCAACTGAGGGTCTTTAGGCCTTTAAACGTAGAGATAAATTTCCATTTTGTTAAGAATTATAGCCTATTTATTATTATTAATGATTTAGTGGTTTAAGTTGTATTTTAAATTTATTTTTTGGTGATGGAGACTATTATCTAGTTATATTAGTGGTTGATTATTTATGATACAATTATTATTATTATTACTATTATTATTATTATTATTATTATTATTGTTATTATTGTAATTATTATTATTGTAATTATAATAATTATTATTATTATTGTTGCTATTATAATTATTGTTATTATTATTGCTAATATTATTACAATTATTATGTTTTTTAAGTAATATTTTGCATTTATTGTAAATTAGATTAAATGATTTCTTAATTTAGATATTGTTTAATTTATGTTCTTTTAATTCTTTTTCGTTTTAAAGGAGATTTAATAGGACTAACACTTGTATTATTTATAGCTGTTGATTATTAACCCTATTATTCTTATTTTTATGATTGAGGATCTTTATCATGTATATTGTTATCATTTTCAGAAGGATTATTATTAAATTTAGTAGGTTGTGATTGAATCATAATTTAAGGACGAATAAGCTATTTTTCTATTCTTTCCTTAATTTAACATGATTATTAAGAGAACTTCATAGTTGAATCTTAATCAAAATCATCAACAAGTTATGGGGTTTAATTTTATGAATTAGTATTGATGCCTCGTATTGCATTATGTACATTAATAGTAGATTATAATTTCAAAGGCTTTATTAATGAAGATCGAAAAATATTTTGTCCAGTATTGTCATTACTCTATTCTTATCTTGGAGTAAGAGCAACAGTTGATAATTTTGTTTTCTAGGCATCTGTTAAAGATTTTTAGTAATCAGCAAATAATTAATCATAATTGGTCAAAAAATCTTGTTTTTTGATATTATTTTTATTGTTTGAGATTTAATGATAAAATTCTTTATTATGTAGTACCTTTTTGTAACCAAGTTTGATTAGGAACATCAAAAGTGAGATGATAATTTAAAACTTTTGAGATTGTTTCCATTATTAAAATTACTCTTCCATAATCAAAGGTTCATCACCTCCATTATTAAACCAAGGATGTAACATAGCCTAAGTAGCACTATAACGTTTAGTTGGATTAATTTCGGTCAATCTTCGAAATAGACTGAATTAAGTACTCTGGATTAATAATGTTTTTAGTACCCATTCAAAGTTTTCTTGCATTTTTCATGCATTGCCAATTAAGATTATGCTATATCACATCCTTTCTTATAATATGGATGTTCACCAACAAGAAGTTAATACATAATAACTCCAGCAGCCCAAATATCTATTGCTTTATTATATACCCTATTATTTAATTATTCTGGAGCCATATATATTAGTGTCCCACATTATTTTGTCATTAATTATGAATATCCTGTGCTTAATCCAAAATCAGTTACTTTCACAAAACTAAGATCATTAGTAACAAGTATATTTTCAGGTTTTAAGTCTCTATGTGCAATATTGTTATTATGCATATACTGTAATGCATTAAAAATTGAATACATTATATACTTGGCTTATTCTTCGGAACATTTCGTTATTTAACTTAATGAACCTATTTTTTATTTCATCTTTACCTCCTGATATAAGCTCCATTTCTATTAGGATCTTATTTTCAGTCTCATAAACTCCAAAAAATTTAACAATGTTTGGATGTTATAATTCTTACTAAATTTGTGCTTCCTACATTAATTGCCCATATTATAGCATTTATTTTTTCTTTATTACCTACAATAAGTTAAGTATTTCAATCACTTACTTTTACAGCTACAGTTTATTATGTATCTTTATTAAATGCTTTAAACACAGTTCCAAAAGATCCTTATCCTAATATTCCTTCAAATTCAAATTGCTGGAAATCTACATCTATTTAGTCGTTCATTTAAGAATAATTTAATTTTATTGAATGCATATTTACTTAAATTTATAAAAAATATCTTTATGTATCACTATAATAAGATAAAGAATATTGCAATTTGTTATTATTATTTCTTAAATAAAATTTATATTCAAAACTCCCATCTAAATTTGAAATAATACATCATTTCATTTTTATAAAATTAGAATTAAGATAAGTTATTTAATTTTTTAAATTAATAGCACGTTCAATTTTTTTAATCTGAAAGTAATTATTGTTTAATTTTAAAGGAAACTATTTGTTTCATGATAGAAAATAATTTTAAACTCTAATTTTTAATTAAAATTAATGACTATATATTGAATTTGAATCATATAATAAATAGAATGTTATAATACAATTAATAAAATCTATAACCTCATAAAATTCTTGGATAATTTTTAATAATATTTATTATAAAAAAGCCAATGTTATTTACTGAGTTAATTTTGATGTTCTTTGATTTTCCAAACATCAATAAAAGTTAAACATGAGCATGCCAATTTTTATACGACAGGTTTTTGTTCTAACTATATAGATTTAATTAAATCAAAATCTGTAAATGTGATCGAAAATTAACTGAAAATTATTACTCTTGTTTAGTGTGATTGATTAAATATACATAATAGAATTTTTTGAAGCAATCATAAAAGCCATTCTAAGATTTATTCTTACAGTTGATTATTTATAAGAAATCTAAGAAGCAAATTTCTACAATAAAAGCACAGTTGATTCTTAATTTAATTCTAGTAAATTAGTTAACTTCAAAATTTATAAATTTNAATGCATTAAAAATTGAATACATTATATACTTGGCTTATTCTTCGGAACATTTCGTTATTTAACTTAATGAACCTATTTTTTATTTCATCTTTACCTCCTGATATAAGCTCCATTTCTATTAGGATCTTATTTTCAGTCTCATAAACTCCAAAAAATTTAACAATGTTTGGATGTTATAATTCTTACTAAATTTGTGCTTCCTACATTAATTGCCCATATTATAGCATTTATTTTTTCTTTATTACCTACAATAAGTTAAGTATTTCAATCACTTACTTTTACAGCTACAGTTTATTATGTATCTTTATTAAATGCTTTAAACACAGTTCCAAAAGATCCTTATCCTAATATTCCTTCAAATTCAAATTGCTGGAAATCTACATCTATTTAGTCGTTCATTTAAGAATAATTTAATTTTATTGAATGCATATTTACTTAAATTTATAAAAAATATCTTTATGTATCACTATAATAAGATAAAGAATATTGCAATTTGTTATTATTATTTCTTAAATAAAATTTATATTCAAAACTCCCATCTAAATTTGAAATAATACATCATTTCATTTTTATAAAATTAGAATTAAGATAAGTTATTTAATTTTTTAAATTAATAGCACGTTCAATTTTTTTAATCTGAAAGTAATTATTGTTTAATTTTAAAGGAAACTATTTGTTTCATGATAGAAAATAATTTTAAACTCTAATTTTTAATTAAAATTAATGACTATATATTGAATTTGAATCATATAATAAATAGAATGTTATAATACAATTAATAAAATCTATAACCTCATAAAATTCTTGGATAATTTTTAATAATATTTATTATAAAAAAGCCAATGTTATTTACTGAGTTAATTTTGATGTTCTTTGATTTTCCAAACATCAATAAAAGTTAAACATGAGCATGCCAATTTTTATACGACAGGTTTTTGTTCTAACTATATAGATTTAATTAAATCAAAATCTGTAAATGTGATCGAAAATTAACTGAAAATTATTACTCTTGTTTAGTGTGATTGATTAAATATACATAATAGAATTTTTTGAAGCAATCATAAAAGCCATTCTAAGATTTATTCTTACAGTTGATTATTTATAAGAAATCTAAGAAGCAAATTTCTACAATAAAAGCACAGTTGATTCTTAATTTAATTCTAGTAAATTAGTTAACTTCAAAATTTATAAATTTAGATGGACAAATTAGATTCACAAAAATAATTATATTTTGTTAAAATGAAAATAAATAGGGTATTTATATCTACAAATTTTATTTGAAGAATTAGTATTAATAACCAATATTAAAAAGGAAATAATAATTATAGATATAAGACTTTCTTTATACTTTACAAAATAAATTAGAATATATTTTATAAAATTTTTAAATATTTTCTTTCTATAAACCTCATATATTAGTTTAAAAGATCTTCAAAATTTTACTTAATTTAATAGGAGATTATTTTTAAGCTTTATTATAAATTATCAGCTTTTATAAGATGGTAACAATCTAGAAACCTTTTATAATCATAAATAAAATACTACTGATCTAAAATAGAATGCATTTTCTGAGGAGGATTATTAATTTCTTAAAGATTTAGCCTAAGTATTTTCACTTTAATGTAATTTTTTTATATATATTTTTTAATCATTTTAATTTATAAATTTTTAGATATTAAATTTATATAATCTAGAAATTTTTAAGATATTTTGTTTAGTGAAATTGAATTTGACTAGAATAACAAAGGTTCTCTTATTCTCATCTTTTAAGTATAGATTTAAAAAATTAGATTTTAATAACTAAAAATGAATGCATTTTAATATATATTTTAATTAGTATCATAACTTTAATAAAATTATTTTGAATGAATAAAATTAATCAATTCCTACATTTTTTTCAATTTGATAGAACCAAAAAAAATATAAATTTGTTTTTTTAGATCTTTAATTAGAGAATGATATTCTCATTAAATTTGATAATGTAATTTCTGATTTCTAAATTTTTAAGTTTAAATTTAAAAAGAAAAATTTGCAAATCATTAATTCTAAATTTATTGAATCATTTTGCTAATAAATTATCATAATTAATTGAATATAAAATATTTTTGATAATTTAGATATATCTTATTATAAATAAGAAGAATTTTATAAAAGATTGATGTATCAATAATTGAAGATAAAATAAATTGTAGATAAATGTAAATTCCTAAAAAGAGATAAATAAGAAGAATTGAGAAATAGTAGATATCTTTAAAGAGATGGACAAATTTGAGATTATATTATATTAAGAAAAACATTTATTAAAATTTTTTAGAATAAAATATGGGATAGATTTATGTGATATAGGGAATGTAAATTTAAGGGGAGTATTAAGAAATGATAAAATAAAATGAATTTGGTAATGTTTCTGTTGAATATGTAGTTTATGTTTAAATGTTTGATGTAAGAAGTGTAGAATAATGAACAAAATATGAGTGTAATAATATAAAAATAAATGAATTTAATCGATCAAATATTTAGGATAGAAAACGATCTTTCTGGACCATAAATATATGCTATATGTAGGAAATGGTATTAAGAATAGTTATAATTTAGGTACGAGTAATTTTAGGATGCTTTGAGTAATTGTGATTCTAATTTCTGTAAAATTGATAACTATTCTCTTTGGTATGATTTAATTAGAATAAATGTAGTATTTGCTAAGAGGAACAAGTGCAATTAAATAGCATATTGAACAATTTTAGGAGAGAGTTTGGTATTCAGCCATTAATTATACAATAAAACTCATTAGAGTAAATTCTAAAAGTTGATAAGCGTAATTAAGTTCAATTGGTAAGTAAAGCTCTTTGGGATTTCTTAGTAGAGCAAGTAAAAGGAGGTAAAGAATTAGAATATGATGAAATTTAGGTCCATGTATTCCATTATATACAATGAGTAGATAGGAATCAAATGTAGTACGTACAATGTTTAAAAACTTTAAATTTATGACAAATCAAGATATCGATAATTTATTGGCTGATTTAGTAGTTCCAGTTGATATGGTTTAGATGGAGTTTCTTATTTAAACAGATGATGATTCTCTAATTTACATGACAAAAGTTGTGCCTTTAGCATTTACAATAGAATAATTAATAACTAAAATATTAACACCTCATTTCGATATATCAAATCTCAAGTGTTACAATTACTATTCCAAAAAATTCTTAAATAATAAAAGTTCTACGTTTATTTGTGAATTGTAAATTAAATCCCTTTGGTTTCTCAAAAGTTGTATGACTATTTAAAATGGAGGAATGGAATTCAATGAGAATTTGGATGAAGTTTAAATGAGAGAAGACTTTTAAAATCTTAAGACAGGATCAACTGAATCTACAACTGAATCTAGAATACCATCATTATTAGATATTTCATAATAATAATAACAAAATCCACTTCATGAATTCGATGATGAAGGGAATCATAGTAATCTAAGTAATTATATTAACGATTATTAATTATTAGTGCTTAAAGAATTAAATGATTTTAAAGCAGAAATTAGTACTATTCTTCAAAACAACAATAAATAACCATTAGTCCTCCTTAAATATGAATAGGCTATCGAAAATATCAATTAAATTATTCAATAGATAGAATAGGATAATTGTTTCAAAAAAGAATAATAAGAAGAAGGAACTAATGACGAACTCATAGAATAAGATATTTGATTTCATAAAAAAACACACATATTCAAGTTCAATCAAATCATAATTGAAAACATTTATTCTACTATTTTCAAAACATTTTCTTATAATTCATACTTATTAGAAAAGACTACATATTTTAATCAACAAACACTAAAATAATAAATTTATTCTTTTCTTTCTTTAAATATTACTAAACTTAACAATTTTATAAGTATCTCATTGAATACTAATTTTGAATAAAAATAACCTTATAAATATTTAAGTATATTTCATTAATTAAATTAAACATGCGAATACCCTAAGCTTTTTTCGAAAGCATGGTAAAACGATATAAAAGACTAAAACAAAATGATTCTGAAGATTACAGTTGGATTGAAACTACAACTAAACCATTAATAGATAGAATTTCAGACTTTGCATAATGTAAATAATTACAAGATCCTAAATACATATAAATAATCAGTGAAACCATAGACAAAATACTAGAAGCAGCAGTTGCTTTATTCTAGGAATAAAATTAAAATCCATGTATTTAATTACTTGGAGAATGTGATTCTATTTAAATTTGGAATTTGTCTTTATAGTGTTGTGATTTTATTAGAACTTGTGGAAATCCTAAAATTGGTATTCATTTAAATTTTAAAGAAAGTCGATATGATATTCAGTTATGAGCATATGTTAACTTTGATATTCCATAACCCAGATTACGATTTATCAAAAATTTACAAAATTATATAGTGTATGTAATTTCTAATAGAATCCTTAAATACATCTAAAATTTGCAAATTTAAAAGTATATAATATATATTAATTTTAGTTGATATCTTTGAAAGAGTATTATTAAGATTTATGTATATCAATGCATTCTTTTAAAAGAGCATTTATAACTTAAGTGATTTAGAATAATAAGAATTGTTCTAATTTTAATTGGATCATTGCATTTTAAAGTTCATCTTTCCATCTGATGATATGATCAATTATCAAAGATATTTAGAAATGAGTAATCTTCGTAAAATCTTAAAAAATCCTCCCCATTCTTTTGAAGTGTAATTTGATTCTACTAAAAATCCTTATGAATAAGCTATTTATATTATTGAAGATAATAAATTGTAGAAAGATAGCATACTATTTGATTAAGTCTTCATTAGATTACTCTGTCATTATTCAGGAACAGAATTATTAATATAGAAAATGTTTATCAGCAATTATATATTCCATTTTAAGTGTGTCTTTTAGGAACTTCAATTAGTCAACAATAAGCATATGTTGGATATATCTAATAGATTAATAGATTAAAAAGATTTTCTATTTCTTTTAATACGAATGATAGCTATTAATAAAGAAGAATCATTAAATGATATTTTAGTATATAGTCTTCAATTTATTAAATCCAAATAAATTCAACTCTATGAACATAATAGTAATTTTTTAGAAAACTTATGGTTGTTTGAACTTTAAGGAATACAAGATTTTTTAATGGAATGGAAACATGAATTTTAAATTCCTGAAGGTAGTTTCTATGAAATTAAATTTTCATTAAGTCCAAAATTTTAAAAGATATTCTTTCAATAATTGTTGGATTAATAATTTACATAAATCTTTAAGAAACAACCTAATTATCAATAGTGGAATAACATTATTGTTTAAATAATAAGAAAATCGTTTTTAGATGATGGATAAACTAGATTGCCTTATCATATTTTGAATGCTTTATTGTCTTATTCAGTGAATTTAATAATTGAAATTCCAGGAAATAATTAAAATTAATAATTAGATTATTAATTGGAAACATAAATTATTTAAGGATTGCTTGAAATTTTAAGTAATTGTTGTAAATCATAGTAACTTTAACTTCAAATTAGAGGGTTTTAATTATTAAATTAATTAATAACCTATTACAAATAAGAATTTGATTAAGTTTAAATATAAAATGCTTAATCTGAATTTATGATGCCTGTACCTGAAAGATATCATAAATTGTTATCAGAAATTTGGTCAAATAAAATATTGGAAAACAGTTTATATAAAACTTAATTAAATGAATAATTATACATCTATTTAATAACATTATTAGCTATAAATATGGGAGAGAATCCAGGAAGGGTGAGAGAATTTTATGAAAATAATAATTTACAATATTTAATTGAAAGAATTATGGAACTATTGAAGATATGTTCTAGAGGATCTAATTTGATAGTAACAATAATAAATTTATTGATTGCTATAAGTACTAATGAATAAGCTATATCATTGGCTTTATCATCAACTAATGAAAAGGATTAATAAAAATAAGAGAATTTAATAAAGTAGATATTTATTAAATGCTATTTACCATCAGTTGAACTTTTACATGATCCTACAGTAAGTGAAGATTTTGCTAAAAAGATTATAATGTTATACAGTCAAAGTCATTAAGCTAAAAAGTAAATAGAAAAGGTTATTGAAAATACATTTGTTGCAATTTCACAATTGGTTGATTTGAGTAAAGATAAAATAGAAGAAATAGTAAGTAATTAAGAAAAATTATAATCATTTTATGGATATTCAAAAAGTCTTTAAGCTTTGTTATAATTGTTTATGTAATTACAACCAGAGAAGAAATCTTCATAGTATAGATAATTTTAAGGATATGAGGAACTACAACTGGAAGAAGCTTAGAGATAAAAAGACATGTTATTCAATTCATTGTTAAAAAATTAAAAGTTTGTTGATGCTTTGGAGAAAATCATTATGAGTCCAATTCTGATAGGAAGCAAGAATAAAGATAAATATGTTGAACATTATGTTGGGATATTATGCAAAAGAAATAAAATAAATCCATTTACTTCGTTATGGAAAGAATTAGATTTAATATCTTAGAATTATATGATAATAGGAGATTAAAAGATTATTGATATAGGTAAGTTAGTTGATTATGATGCTTTATCAGTTCATATGAGTTATAAATACTTTTTTAGAAAGATCATAAAACATATATCTCCTTAGACTTATAGAGGGTTTTATATTTTAAGTCGCTTTCATTTAATACATTATTTAATAAAGATTTGTGTTAGTTAAGGAGGAGTATAACATTAAGATATTCATTTATTGATTGCTCAATTATTATAAATTTATTTCTTATCTTCACAACATGCTGGATTTCATGAATCTATAATGATGTTTATGGCTGCAAAATCACAGATTTAAAGATTCTAGAATAGTTATGACGATGATTCTCAAATTAGAAAAAGGATTAGTAAAGATAATTAAATACCTCTCTAGGAATCATGCGTAGATTTAATTAATAAATTATAATTATAAGCTACTGTAGAATAAAAGGAATTTATCGTTAAAAAATATGGAGAAATAACACAATTATTCTTTATCAATTTTTAAGAAAAATATTAATAAATTAAAGAGTCTTAAGGATTAAAATTAATTTAACATGTTACTTATATGTAAGACATTCTTAAATCCTTTAAGTTTTTTTTAAATCTATTTCAAAATTTAGAATAATAAAATTAACCAATATAATTTACATTTATTTGTTATTAAAATAAATCATTTTACTTAGATCTAATTGATATGATGAAATATTTAGATAATGTTTAAAAATAATCATTAAATAATAACAATAAAGAATAAGAAGTTGTTAAGAAGATTTTACCTAGTTTTATTGAAGCTTTTAATTTACACATAGATAATATTATAAAATAATCATTTTTTAGAAAAATGCTTTTAGATAAAATTTATATTTCTGATTAATGCATAATTGATCCATCATAATTAGAGTAGGTTTCTAATGAATTGATACTTTCATAAACTTATTTACTTAGAGGAATGATTGATTCATTACTTTAAGGTAATTGTGAAGGTCAATTAAAGAATTTATTTGAATAACTTATTTAAAGATTTTATTTAATTAAAGATATTTAAATATAAGATCTTAGAAAATTGGGAGGATTAGAATAGAAAGATTAAGTACTTGCTTAAAAAGAGCTTATTTAATTATTGTAAGGAAATGAAACAAATGAATAGAGGTAAACTATTTTTGATAGACCAGAAATCAAGGGAATTTTAGAAAAAGTATGTGAAATAGGAATTAATTAAAAATTAGCTAAAAAGGCAATTCAAAGAGTAGAAATTCCAGAACTATCTCTTGTTCTTGAAATGATTTTTAATGGAAGAATATCTGATGATGAAGAAGATTTAGATGATCTACTTTTTGAATCTGAATAAAAAAGCGAAAATTCAGAAACTTAATAAAATAATTAATAAATTTAAAATGATTCCAAAAGATTAGTTGAACAAGAATAAAACTAAAATATTATAACAGTTATTGACAATGACTTATTTCTCAAGATTTTAAATCAAAATTTCCCATTATTTGATCCATAAGTAACATTATAAGAAAGAATTTCATCAATTATAAACAATTTTTAATAGAAATTAGATGAAACCATTAATTAACTTTTAGATTAATAATTAAACAATTAAAAATCTAATAATAACCTTTTAGAATATTTGTTCACGATTGCTAAAAAACAGTAACATGTTTAGAAAATATTGGATTAAATATTTGTATCACTTTAAGCCTTTAAATCATAATAGACTTAAGATTTGAATTAAAAAATGAGTTAATTTAACAATACTTTATAATGGTTAGCACTTCTGTAATAAATATCTTAATAGGAACATGAAAAATTATACTAAAATGTTGCTCTTATTGATTAAGACCCATAAAAAGAATAAAAATTTGTATTATCTTTTTAAGAGATTATAAAGATAGGGTTTGCTTTGATTTAGGAAATTAATGATTAAATGATAATATAAAGCTAAAATGAGTATTAGGAATTAACTCAAATAAATGCCTCAGAATTAAACTACACATAAATATGTCAAAAAGCCCAATAAATAACAAATAATCTAAATATCTTATATGAGACTAAATATAATACATTACGATTATTCTGTAAAGAGTTATAGGAAGCATAAAAATATTTAACAAGATTTGTGATGAATTAACAAAATAAGCATGATTAATTAATAGAAAGATATTGGAATTAGATAGAAATTTACATATAATTTTTGATATAAATATGTATAGTGAATTTCAATTTATAAGAGGAATCCTAAAAGACTCATAACTTGTTAAGTGAGATTGATATATTTATAAATAATAATAAAGGTTTAAAAGAATAGAGAGATTCTACATAAAATAGCATTTACTTAAGATAGTTGATATAGAGGAGATTGTTTTCTGATAAATTGGTAATTACTTAATTACTATAATGTTTAAATAATTTTGGTCTTCATAATTAGAGCAAGTTGTATAAATTGTTAACAAAAAAGCAGAAAGAAGACAATTAATCATTATTATAAGTTTTGTTAGGATTGAAAATATATTCAAATCATATGGAATATGAGGAATCATAACCAGTATTTTTAGAAAATTTGATTTATTTGATAGGTATAGATAGTAGAACAGCAAAAGATTTGATATTAGTAATTTTGAAATAGGTAATGTTGAATGAGCATATAGATTGGCATGCATAATAAATAAAGAATTTAGATGAATTGAATTAAATTCAGATTCCTCATAAATATATTGAATGCCCATTATAATATTTATTATAGTTTCATCCTGTTTTGGTGAATAATCCATTAGTTTATAAGATAATAATAGAATAGGAAGGCCTTACAATAAATGATAAGTTTTCAGAACTATCTCGAACCCATACAGTGAGATAATCTATTTTATAGGCAACTGGTAAATTAACAAAAGAATAAGAGAAATTATTAAAAGAGAAAGAGAAGGAATTGCTTCAATAAATTTAGACTGATATCATTATTAAATTTGAATTGGATCATGTAATAGAACCTTAATTAAATTCTAATTTTATTAATTTGATTGATATTATAGCATAAGCAACAGTTGATAGATTCTTTGAGGAGAATTTCAGATTTGTTGAATAAGTGTTCAATATTAAATTAAACTAATATAAAGATGATAATAGAATGTATTTATATGGATGGGATCAATTGTTAAGGATAATTGAGATGTTAATCATAAAAATACCTTAATTAATATTATATATACGATAATTGAAGGTATCTTTACCAATTTAAGTTGAGAATAATTAGAGTAATAAGATAACATTCTTAGAATTTATAATTAAATATTTAACATGGGTAGGAATTGATAAACTCTCCAATTTTATGCATAATTATTTAAGTGATATTAATATTTTGTCATTTGCTTATGGTGTAAGTTTAGGTCAGGAAGTGTTATAATTGTTGTTGAATGAATTAAGAATAGATTATGATAATAGTAATGTTATATAGAAGTTTTATCATGTGTTATAATTATTAGTGTTATTTACTTAAACATTAACACTTTAGAATTGTTTATTGATATTGACTGATTAGAGATCATAATTGAATATAGTACCTAAAATAATCAGTACTCTCAATAATGTAAGAGAATGTGAGAATAAACAATTTGTTAAATTGTATCAATAAACTATAGCAAAAGTATTGGAACCATTTTTATAATCTTAAGTGTATTTTGAACATATCAGATTAGGTAAATTTGGTGATGTTTTTAGACTTTAATAGAGTATTTAAAATGATTCATTTCAGTTTCATTATCTTCATTGTCTAAAAAATTAAGTGATTTGTTATTAATTATATCCTAATTTTAAAAGTACTTAAGGTTCAGCCTAACATTTTGTTTCGCATCCATAGGTTCAATAAACTCTTAAAGATGAACATCAATAAGATATTATTTGGCCATTGTATTAATCTAGAAGAAACTTGAATAACTAAAAAAATAACAATTAAAAATAATATGATGAAGATTAAAGCGATTCAGATTCTGATTAAGACATTTTATAAATTGAAAATTGTCAAATCAAATATAGAGCTAATTATTCAAGTATTAATTCATGGGGTGACTATTATTCATATGAAAATGATTTTATGGCGAAATGTGCTATCAATAGAGATGAAGAAAGAATTCATAAAGAAAATTAACACAATATCTTTCCCTAAAAAGAATTAAATATTCTTTTTTGTAATTTGGATTAAAAGATCTATCAGTTCTAATTACCTGATTTTAAAATTTCAACTTAAAATATCATCTATTAATAAAATGATTACAAAAATTGGATTACCTCTGTCGTGGGTTTGTATTTTAGTTCAAATGAATATTTTGAAAATAAGAAATCTTTAATTTCTAAAGCTTATGAAAATTAATTAAAATACACTGTTGAATATATACATTCTATAAATAGATTACTATTATCATCCCCTTTATATCATACTAAATAAGTTGAATAAATGTAACACTATTTATCTTATTATTTAAATGGATCATTAAATCATTTCTAAATTTAATCTGGAACTGCATGTTTTTACTCTAAATTTGGTTAAGCACCCAACCAAATTTAATAGGATTATTAAGGTAATTCTTTATCAATTAATATTAATGAATCATCATTATAATAATAAAGAATTTTAACTTAAATTTCATGTAATGTTTTATAAAGTAGAGTTGTACTTACAGGAATGCCAAATGATTTACATGATTAAGCAATATTAAAAGCTAAATTACAAAGTCTCATTCATCCAGAAGATATTCTTACCTGTTAACCAAAATTAATTGATATACCAAAAAGAGTGTTAATTTAACCTGATGAGTAATAACTTTAAATTACTGATAACATAATCTTAGAAATGTTTATTTCTTTATTGTTAGATTAAAACAGTTTTCCATAATTTCCATTTAATCTCTTACGTTAAATAAGTAAAAGTTCTCGCTTAGGATTCAAATTACTTATTTAATTGCTTATATTATATTAAGAATAAAAAAATAATTTAGAACTCACACTTAAAATTTTATATTTAGTTAGTTAAAAGATACCTTCAAATAATCTTAGAGATCTACTATCTGAGTAATTATAAATCAGTCCAATTCTAAATAAAAGAGAAAAAGCAAATCTAGCTAAAGGTTAATAAATTAAAGAGTAGTTTATTATAGAAGAAGAGAATATTGATGAATAGACTTAAGAAGATGATCTTGAAAATCCATTAGTATTTTTGATTAATCAAATCAATATTTACTCAGAAAAAAACATTTCATTTATAACATTATTTCATAATTCTGAGTCATATGTACCAACTGAAAAAAGTATAAAAAAATTTTATTTATTCTAGATATATTACTTACACCTTTATTAGCCAATTAAACCAATTTGCACTTATAATACTTAATTTAAATTATTAGAGGTTCTCTTATGATTACATCAGATGATAATAAAGATAAGACCAAAAAGGGGGATGATGAAAATCTATATAAAATTATGAGAAGGTAAGCAACTTAATCTAATGGTGGAATTGATGAAAGTAAAATTTTCGATTTGTTTTGTTAATTAAGCAGAAATGAAGATCTCTAATTTCATGATTTAATCTTAAAGACATTTACTGATAAAAATTTAGAATCTTAAGATGTTTGGGATTAAGCTTCATTTGCATTTAAATCACTTCAATTTAAATCAAATGAATTTTAATCTCCATTCAGATAATCATCTAATGTATCCATTATCTAAATGTAACCTCCATTACCACCTTAACCTAAATAACCAGTTCCTTCATTTCCTGTTTCTTAAATGTCAATCTTACAGTAACATTAATAATTATAATAATTTTAATCGATTAGATAACATTCATAATAAATATAAGCATTACATTAATCTAAATTATAAGAAGATTAATTGAAATAGTAATAATAGTAATAATAGTAATAGTAATAATAATAATAATAGTAATAGTAATAATAATAATAGTAATAGTAATAATAATAATAATAATAATAGTAATAATAGTTATAATAATCATTATTATCTATAAATGAAGAATTAGATGAAAATGAATCAAATTCATAATTATCTAAAAGGGAAAGAAAGATTAGTGCTAAAATTTCTCATGTTGAAATTGATATCATTACTTCCCTATGTAGAACTCTTAACAATCCACAATTAAGAGAAGGAAATTCAAATGAAATAATTAATATTTTGAATTCGTATGCAAGTGATAAATTAAAAATTGAACATGCGATAAATGAATTAACAAAATATATTATTTAATAATCAAAAATTTTCAACTTTGAATTAGATAAAAAAAGAAAATAACTTAGAGAAATTACAAGTTAAAGAGAAAAGATAAAAGATTACGATCCTGAACAATTTTAAACACTTAATAATACAGAAAATGAAATAATCAAAAAATTAAATTAAAAAACTCCTGATCCCAATATTATTCAAAGATGTTTTATTGCAATTACAGGATTTCTAAATCTTAATTTAATGGTATCTGATTAAACTAATAAATAAGTTATAAAACCAAGTTCAACATAAACTAGATAATAAATTTAATTAGATAAAAAGAAATATAAATTAAATTAATAAGGTAAAAGTGTTGATACTACAAGTGATATTGACTAATAAGTCAAAAAAGATATTAGAACTAGATTCATTAATGTTTTATAAACTAGATAAACACATCATTTATGGTTAAACGTTGTGGAAACCTTACTTTTGATTTTTAATTACAAAGGGTCTAGATCATTAGAGTTATTATAAAAAAAACTATATCCACTTTTGGAATGTTTTTTAAGGCTTTATTAAAATGTACATGAGGAACTGAATTCTTAAGAATATTCAGAAAAAACTAATTCAGAAACAAACTTTTTTGAGAGGAATTTAAGTGGTTCAGCTACCAACTCTCTTTAATTTGGTTTATTATAAACATAAACAATACATTTAAAACGATCTTTTTCATCAGTAAGAAATGAGAATGAAATGTAAATGAAAATTGATGAATTGTTTACCTATTTATGTATTAATGGAAAAAGAATAATTAATTATTTAATTAATCAAAGATTATAATAAATAACTTATGATTTAAAATTAAGTCATTCATAAAATCCTATAAAATTGTTTAAAGAAACTGATCCACTTGGCTTTGTATTTTTTAAAATGAGCTAAATTGTTTCTTTTCAAAATAAGAAACATTTTTTTGAAATGGATTTAGAAACCTTAAAAATTAATGAAAAACCTAATTAAAGATAAAGGGGGAGATAAAGTGAAACTATTGAATTTAATGTTGAAAGAGAGAAGAGATTATAATAATCTTTAGAAAAGGTTTTGCATGTTGAAAAAAATAAATTCAGAAGATGTGAAATTAAAATTAAATATTTAGGAGAAAAAGGATAAGATGAAGGAGGAATAAGAAAGGAATGGATGACTAATCTTGTAAAAGACATATTACAAACTGATAAATTTGAATTAACTACTAAAAGGTTTTATAAAATTAATAAAAATAAAAAAGCTACTGAAGATATGAATTATTATAGGCTTTTAGGTAGAATCGTAGCAAAAAGTATTTATGATGGATTACTGTTACCTGTATATTTTATTCCAACGATTTTTAAAATGATTCTACAAAAGAAACCTAATTTTGATGATTTAGAACATTATAATGAAGGTTATTATGATACTTTTATTAAATTTATGAATGATGAGACATAGGTTCAATATAAAGATTTATTTGAATTTTGGATTCCAGAAGAATATGCTTAATTAATTGAATAAAATAAAAAGTATATTTTTACTGATATTCTCTAAGACTATTTAGAGAAGAATCCAATAGAAATCAAGTAAGAATAACCTATTGAATAGCAAAATTAATTAGATTAACAATAATAAGGCTAAAAAAATAAATAAGATTAACCATAACAAAAAGATTAACCAAAATAAGAATAATAGTAATAATAATAATAATCATAATAATAATAATAATCATAATAATAATAATAATAATAATCATAATAATAATAGTAATAATAAGAATAAGAATAATAATAATAATAATAATAGTAATAACAATAATAATAACAATAATAGTAATAATAATAATAATAGGAACAATAATAATAATAATAATAGTAATAATAATAATAATAATAGGAAGAATAATAATAGTAATAATAATAATAAAAATAAAATTAAGGAGTTCCTTTTAAATAAGATTTGATTCAATATTTCTTATAAAAGAATTAAGATTTGAATGATTCTTAATAAAAGAAAAAATCAGAGGATATAACTGCTGAAGATATGGAAAATAGAGAAAAAAAAAGATTAATAAGAAAGAACAAGAAAAAATAATTAAGTGATGAAGCTCTTAAATAAATAAAACTATAAGATGTATTCTTATCATTATAATCTAATGTTACTGTAAAACACAAAAGACTTATCTGCGAAGTAATTAGTAAAAAGTTGATGATTGATGAAATCAAAGGTCAAATCTAAGTTTTAAGAGAAGGATTCTTTGATATAATTCCAAAAGAGTATTTTTCTTATATGGATTGGAGAGATTTATAGAAATTAATAATTGGTGTTCCATCAGTAGATGGTAATAATTATTATTAAATAATTAGTTGATGATCTTTAAGCAAATACAGAATATGTGAATTACGATAAAAATAATTAGACTGTTTTATGGTTTTGGGAGGTGTTAAAAACATTAACTGATTCAGAAAAATCTGATTTTTTAATGTTCTCAACTGGAAGTCCTTTAGTACCATTTGGAGGATTTAAAAATTTAAGAGGACCGAATGGACCTAAAAAGTTTTCAATATCAAAAGATTTTAATTCTGAACATTTTATTAAAGCTCATGCATGGTAATATTTAATTATTTAATTTTATTAGTTTTAATAGAATTGATTTACCTGAATATAATTCAAAAGAAATTGTAAGAGAAAAACTATTAAAATCATTAAAAGAATCAGGATCTGGATTCGATTTGAGTTGAGTTTATATAATATATTTTTTTAGTCAAATATGTAAAGTAATTAAAGATTAAAGAATAAATTAAAAAAAAAATTAGATAAATAAAAATAATCAGGATTCACTATGTATATGAATTCTTTTTATTTCTCGACTATAGAGATGAGATTTATTTCTCATTAACGAATTAATATTACTTGTATTTGTTGATGTAACATTTTAACTATCTTAATTCTTTTAATTAATTTAATTTAATCGTATGTTCAAAGAATGTTTAGCGAAGTAGGGGATAGTTGATTACCTTTTGCTATGATTTTATTAATGATACTGAGGAGATATTAATATTTTTAGTTTATCCTTTACTATTTTATTATCTGCATCATCACAAATAGTTATTGGACTTATATCTGTAATACTAGGTTCAACAGTACTTCGTAAAGTTATCTAAATTATAGTATAAATAATACATCAATTAAATTTAACTACTTTTAATTGGCAAGTTCCTATTTTTGATTGGCATTTAAATTTTTGTTTCTATATACAAATATAATAATTACAGATCTTTCAACTTTAAATAGAGTTAATTTCTTGATAGTTTTTCTAAATTAAACGAGATCGAACTCTAGAATTGTTTAGAATCTTCAATATGCTTATTTAGAGAACTTTAGTATTCTTATGCTGATTTTTCTTCAAGCAAATACAAATTTTAAAATGATTCATCTGCACTATTCAATTTTGTTTTTCTTTTTTATATGCAATCTTTTATCACTTATCTAGCTATGATTCTTGTCTAAATTTATTTATTTAATTTTACTTCGTTATGATTATTACTATTTACTTGAGTATTACTTTTAACTTAATTTATAGATTCATCTATTCTACTTATTTATTTAGAACAATTAAGTAATGAGATACTTTTGTTACATTTCATTTATCTAAGTTTTATAAAGGATTCAACATTTTTATAATCGTTTAATTATTATGAGTACATTTTGGGACAAATAGAAGAAGCTCCTGATTAACTTGATAATGTTCAATAGATACTTGAATAATAATGGTCGTTATGCTTTGATTTCTTTAGCTAGGCTTCTTCTTTGAATTTTCATATTTTTTACAATATTTATTTTTAAGTTTATTAATCTAATATATTGATAAAATTTAATTAATTTATATTTAAACAAAAATAATAATAATTAATTTCAGCAATTTGTTTCTTTAAAGATGTTTATATTATCTATTATATCATAGTTTGTGAAATGTCTTTTATGTATTTTTTTATTTTTTGGTATATCATTTTGATGGGTTATGAGTTGCATACTTTTAATTTCTTTATTACCTTAAGTGTGAAGTGATAATTTGATTTATTAGTTTTATTTAATCATTTTAAAAGATGGATTACTATGTCTATAATTTTGTAATTTTGTAAATGGCTACTTAATACTATCATCAGATCCTCTATTATCTCTTAAAGTTGAATAAGGAATAAATGGTTTTGATGACATTCGTTCTGTTTGTGATATATGTAACTTCTATAAAAAAAAATATTATACAGAATTTCCTGAAGGCATTACTAAATTTAATTGAATAGTATTTATAGTAGGAGAATGATCTATTGGAACATTTTATTTTGGAATAGCTTTTCTTTAATTTTGATATAATTTACAATTTCAATAATTTTGAATATAATTCCTCCTTTGTCATTTATTTTAAATTAAATTTATGGGATTAATCTTTCTCTATTTCTAAATGCTTATCTAAAGATTATTAAAATTTCTTGAACGAATTATCTAAAATTGTGGACATTTTAGTATCAATTTGAGTTTCTTAAAATTCCATTCTATGTTTCTATTTGATAAATTAATTTTATCTAATCTATCTCAATACAAATGAAGTTGACTATATTAGATTTATATTACAAATTAGATCCTTTTAAATCCAACATTTTCCATATTCACATTATGTAATGTCTCATAAAATTGTTAATCAGATCTATGAATCTTATATTACTAACACAATCTAATAGCTAATTTCTTATCACATTTTTATTATCGAAGTTTTATATATTAATCACAATCAGTCCATTCTATTGGTTTTCTTGAAAGATTAGGAAAATCACTTATACTAAATTATTTTCCTTCTCTTCCTGATTTATAGAGATCTTGTTAATAAGTTTTAAGTTCTTTTATTATGCTTCTTTATGGTTTCATTTTTTTATTTTTATTTTATAATATCAATTATATAAAAATTAACTTTTATAAATACTTGACTACAAAGAGGAATTTCTAATGTTGTCTATTTGAAAAACAATTTCATTTTTCTACAATTACATATTGTTGGCTAATTAAAGTCTACCTTTTTTTATAATTTATCTTATTTTTTCTAATTAGTTAATTTTAATTAATTTATCTTCTAAATTACTCATATGAATCGAATCATTTTTTTGATTTATTTTTTCACTATTTACTTTTACCTATCATAATTAGTAAATTAACTTTTAATCTATGATTATCTTTTTCTATTGTTTTTGAAACTTATTCTATTCTTTTCTATTCTTCTTCTAATTCAGACAAGTGAAGTTTCTCCTTCAAAATATCCATTTTATTTTTAAAATGATCAGACTTTCTTTCACTTAAAATTTAGTTCTGATACATAACATCTTAAATATGTTATTCATGTTTCTTTAATTTTTCTACTGAAGTATCTAATCTCTCTGTTCTTAATTATTCAGCTTTTTTAATTTTACTTTCTATGTTCTTAAATTTGTTATACTTAATCTTGCAAATATTTTTAATAATTTACTTATGCATCTCTCAATTAAAATATTTTTTATTTTATTTAATTCCTATCTAATTAATTTTCTTCTAAAGATAATAGATGTTCATAAAATTAAATTAATTGTTATCGAGATTTTTCGACTGAGTCTGACATCTAATCAAGATTCGGATAAAAGTTTTATTAATAACTCCAATACGAATCCAATTCTTGTAAATAATTCCTCTCTTTTTATTATTAAAGATAACTTTATTCATACAGATACCTCTTTTATTTCAACTAAATTAAATACAAATTTAATTACTTGATTACTTTTCTGCTTCATCTATTAATCAAGTTCAAATTATTTTGAAAATAATTGAGATAATTTCTCTTTATTGGATTGACAGTTCTATGAAATTATTTTTGAGTATTTTTGGAGAGTGTTTAATTCTTTCTCCTAAAATTAAAATTTATAGACACCCTTACATGTTATTTAACATATTTATCTGTTTTTGTTATTTCATTTTATAAAAAATTTGAAATTCTCAAATTTGATGGCAATTCGAATTTATTCATTTAATAATATAAAATTATGCGTCAAACATTTAATATAACGGTTTAAAGAAATAAAATTTTAGCATTTTTCTTCTACTTTAATTAATCAGTCATTGACTATTATAATGATATTTTTTAATAAAAAATATAATTTCGACAAAACTATAGTATAAAAAAATAATAAAAATATAATAAACCATTTATAAGAGATTAAATTGATTTTATCTATCTCGAAATTATATCTATGTAGTTGTCCAACAGAAACTCTAATATACCTTTTCTTTGTTACATAAGTATAAGGCTCATTTTCTGAATTTATGATCAGTAGCATTATCTAATAATAAAACAAAGTTTTTGTGATTTATTAATTATTTTAGCAACTAAAGTAACTTATGAAGTAAATAAAAGCTATTTACAATTCCAATTAAGCATCCTTAAATCTTTTCATTATCTTTTTATTTTTATTCAATTAAAAATTTCTTAGTAACATATTAAACTATTATTCTGTTTATTTTTTATCATGTCTAATTATTTATAGATTTATTATAAACCTAATTCTCTAATCTCATTTTATTAAGATATTTTAGTTCTTCATTTTATGCTTGTATAGTCTCATATTGATTTGAAATATATTAATAAATTTAAATTATTATCAATCATTTTTTCATTACATAAATTCTTTAAATAAATCGTTAAAATAATCTAAATGGAAAATATAAAAGTGTTGGTCAGAGTTAGACCACTCAATGAAAGAGAAACACATTTGGGAGCACATTCTTGTGTGTCTACCACAAATAATTCTGTTATTCTATATAATAAGAAGGAATATCATTATGATCATGTATTGGGAATCAATTCAACATAAGAGTAAGTGTTTGATAAAATTGGAATTTCTACAATTGAGTCATTTTTGAATGGATTTAATTTTTGTATATTTGCTTATGGTTAAACAGGAACAGGGAAAACATATACTATGTAAGGAAAAGGATTAGATGGCTTATAAAATGAAGAAATTCATTTTGGATTACAACCTAGATTAATTTAATAACTTTTTGTTAACTTACCAAAAGAATAAACTTGGTCTATTAAATGTACTTACTTAGAAATATATAATGAATAATTGATTGATCTTTTAAATGATACTAAACAATTACCTCTTACTATCAGAGAAGATTTAAAGAGAGTATATGTTGAAAATCTCACTGAAATAGTAGCTAGTTCTTATAATGATATTTTATCTTTATTATAAAGAGGAAATAACAATAGACATGTTTCAGCTACTTAAATGAATCTTGAGAGTTCAAGAAGCCATTCAGTTTTTACAATTTAATTAGAATAAAAAATTTAGGGAATTTATACAAGAAAGAGCAAGTTAAATTTTGTTGATTTAGCTGGTAGTGAAAGATAAAAATTAACTGCTGCCACTGGTGAAAGACTAAAGGAAGCAGCTAATATTAATAAATCTTTAACAGTTTTAGGATTAGTTATTAATACTCTTGCTGAAAATTCAAAGAGATTTATTCCATATAGAGATAGCAAATTAACTTTTTTATTAAGAGAAAGTTTGGGAGGTAATTCAAAGACAATCATGATTACTACAATCTCTGAAGCAAGCATTTCATTTTAAGAAACTTTAGGAACATTAAATTTTGCTTCTAGAGCTAAAAATATTAAAAACTAAGTTATTATTAATGAAGAAATAGGAGAAGATAGAGAAAGCCTAAAAGCAGAAATTAAGAGATTAAAAGAAGAACTTTCATTATAAAAAAATTCAAAATTTGAAATAATTCCGAAATTCTAATAAGAAGTAGAATTGATTTCAGAAATATTCAGTCAAAATAGTGAATTCAATGAAAATGAATTATTTTAAGAATAATTGAAAAAATAATTAAATGAAATGAAAGAATACTATGAAAAAAGAATTGTCGAATTAGAAGAGCAAAATTATTCAAATAGGGATCTTTAAATTTAATAAGCTATTGAAATTCAAAAAGAATTAAAATATAAAAATGAGATCTTAAATCAAAAAATATTAGAATTGTCTTAGAATGATACAATCTTAAAGGATAAGATTAATGAATAATAATTAATTATTACCTAGTTATAATAAGATAAAAAATAACTAAAAGCTTATCATTCTTTTCAGTAAACACTTATTGAAAAGTATGAAAACCCTTTAACCTAACACTAAGATGAAATTGCAGATTTAAACAATTAATTATTAATATATTAAGATCGAATGGATATAGATTCATAGACTATTGAGCTTTAGAGTGATGAAATATCAAGATTATAATTAGAGATTTAATAAACTAATGTAAAAACAGAAAATCTTCAATAAAATTTAAATTCCTTTTAAGATATATTGAAAGAAAAGGAAAATTTTATTGAAGAATAGTCAAAAGAACTAAACAAATATAGAAAACTAAATAATGTTAAATCAAAAAAAATTTTAAAGAGTATGAAAGTGCTCAAAAAAGAAAAAGAAAGCTACTATAATTTAGAGATAAGGTAACTTAATTTTCTACAAGAGCTTAATTAATAAATGGAACTTGAATAAAATTTCCCTACAAATGAGTCAATATAAGTGGGATTAAAAGAAAAGTTTTAACATATTTATAGTTTACTGAATAATTAATTAAAAATAACTAGTTAATTAAATTAAGAAAAAGATAATTTATAGAACGAATTTAAATAAATTTTCGATAATTTATTTAATTAAAATTAAGCCTTGTAGTTAGAATTAGAAAAAAATCAAGAGAATAAAGAAAAAGTCTAATAATATGTCGAATTGAACAACTAATTTATAGATAGTTATGATATTATCAATTAAAAGTTAATAAGGAAAGAAAATGAAGTTATTAAATTAAAATCAGAACTGAAATTAGAATAAAAAGATAGAGCACAAGCCTTAAATGAAATTATTAAGTAATTTTAAATATTTATGATAAGTCTTTGTTCTGCAAAAATAGATTTGTCTAATAATACAATAAAAGAATATCAATAAATAATCTAATAAATGTAAATGATTTTACTACTATAATGATTTATTATATAAATCATCAAAATTCCGTGTCTTAAATTCTTTGTAATTCTAAATTCTTAATATGCCAAGATTTAATTCTTTAGTTATATTAAGAGGATCCTAAATGGTTTAAATTCTTTTAGAAGTCCTTTTTTCAATTACCATAGGTAGAATTAATATATATATTGATTATAATTATAAATATGAGCCAGATTCTAAAAATAAATAATAATATTATTTTTAATGAGAGATATCAATCAATGAATTTAATTGATTTTTGATTAATTTCATATATATATAATTTGTGATTAAATATATTAAGATGAGTTAATATCAAAAGTTTGAAAACTCATAATTAAAATTATATAATGATTATTTATAAAAAAAGTTCATTTTTAAATTTTCGAATTAATTATAATCACAATTTATATATAATACTATTCAAAATTGTTTTATTAAATAAAATGAGAAATTAATCTGTAAAATAAGAAACTAGTTTAATAACAAAAAAGAAATACATTAAAGCAAAAATTGACTTTCAGAAATATAGCTTTATGGAAAACAGATAGAATTACTAAAGTCTAACATGCTCTACTCAATAAGATTCTAATAGCAGCAGCAACATATAGTTTTAGTCTCTTAGACAACTTTCTCCAACTGATTAAGCTGACAAAATAAGTAAGTATCTATAGTTACATTATTAGAGGATCAACCAATTAAGATTTCTTCATAAAAATTGATTAAAATGAACTCAAGAGAATTTTAAGATCCCAACAAAATTAAGAAAGGGGGTTTTTATAAAAAAATTTCACCATAAGTTAATCTGAATCATGACAATATTGAAGTTACTTTTGTTAGAGGATTCAATCTCTACAATGAATCAGATCGAATGGAAGAGAAAAAAAAAAGTTTGAAAATCGATAAAGAAGTGACAATTTAAGAAATATCTAATCCAAAAGTTTAAGTCAAAAGTTCCCGTAGATTTACTAATGACAATGCTTAATTTTAAGCATCTGTAAATAAAGGTATTTTAAGTTGTTACAAAACTCTTTTCTTAAAGGATCAACCAAAAAAAGATTAAATATCTTTATGTTTTACAAATCAACCATTAAGTGCCAGAACGTAGAAAATCAATTTAAAGTAATACAAATGAATATAACATTCTTATATATTCACAATATTACATTCACTTTTATATATAAATCATATTTTATCAGTTTTAGTGTTTAAGGTTGATATTCTCATTTCAAAAAAACAAAAATTAATCATTGAAAAATAAACAATATATTTTTAAATTAAATCATATTCAAGATTATTTAATCATATTTTTAAAATTTCCAAAGTCTTTTTGAATCACATTTTTCTTGTTGAATAAATGCTATCTTAAGGAATTAGAGAGTAAGACTAAAAATCAATAAGTTTTTATAGTTTAATAATTTAATTAATTGATTAACAATTTATGAGTTTTTCATTATATTTGAAACAATAACAACATTTAATAATTTATCGTAACCCTATATAAAATTAAGAAGGATTATAATTTTTTATATTCAAATTAAAATAATTGATTATCATTTATAATAATTTTATCTATCTTAATATA